AACCAAGCAAATCTATACAAGACTGAACAGCAAATTAGGTTTATGAAAATAATTAAAAGAAAAAAAAAATATGATAAGAGAAAGGATCGATGGAATTAATATCTACAGAGGCATTTTGTTCAACAATATTAGGACCAAAAATAAAGAATAAAAATTGATGGAATGTAAGGGCGATACAGGCAGCATAGACCTGAGATAATTCCTAGCTGCAAAGCGGTACCCTATAAAAATCAGTATATGCACTTTTTATACATTAGGAGTCTGGGCATATGCGTGCTTTAGCAGCCACAGATCCTATTTCCTAGTGCAATTCAAATACAAACCAACAATCAAATTTACAAATAATGCAAAAAAAAAAAATCATCCTATGTTGAAACCTGCAAGCTCTCTCGTTAACATGGTGATAGGGAACCCTAACTCCCAAAATGTTGCTATTTATGGAGTACAAAGTTATCTTAGATGGGCCAATTCCATTTACCCAGAAATAAAATGGGCCCAAAAACGGGATTTAGGACCATTGGGCTTCCAGCTCTTGGCCCAATATTGTTGAGAAGCAAAAAAATTTAGGGAAAATTTTCAAAACAACAATATTTTAGCTTTTAATGGGACTCCTTAGCAATAGTTTCACTATTTATTTAAAATGTCAATATTTTAGTTTGTTAAGGATTGAGTTATGTATTTATTTTATTTTGATTGATTTGAAATAATACAAATAATTAATAACTGAATAGAGAAAATCATGGAACAAAAAATTTCAAAAAAGGTATTTTTTTTAAAAAATTTAACATCAGTTACGTTTTTGAAAGAGCATATGTTGCCATTTTTCTTTCTAGCGTTTTTTTCTTTGTTCTTAAGAATCTCATTTTTTTTTTGAAAACAGTAGTTTGTATTTTATATCTTATATGAGTGGAAGTGTTGGAAAATTTCTAATGCCCTCTGTTTTGGATATTTAAATGTTTGAACTTCTTTGAATATGTGTTCATCCGAAATGTATTCGAATACCTAATGATATGCATAACTAATTTAAAATACAAAAAATGTTGGTATTGATTTATTATGAATACAACTCTTTGGCATTCTAGTTCAAGTACAAAAATAAAGGCAGTTGTGTAGTATATACCAAAATATAAATACAAATTAGTTGTAGATCAAAATGATATTGAAAAATACAGTTGCGATGAATACATATATAATACATAGAATAAGTTTATTCAAAATAAATTGTATTTATGTTTCAATATCCAATTTTGTTATATTATTATTTCACTTTAAATTTGCAGAAAGTATTTTCTAGCTTAGTTTTTATTTCAAATATAATGTTATATTTCAATATCATTTTGTATATCAAAAGCAAAATGAATACCAATAATTTTGTATTCCCCTTCTTGTGATGTATTCGTCGCACAGTTTTATATATTATGTATTCATAAAATTATATTGCTTTAGCCAAATAAAATACAAAATATGTCTTACTAAGTTTGTATTTCAGATATCAGGTTGTATTTCAGTATGATTTTGTATTTCAAACGAAAAAATGAATACCAATAAGTTTCCATTTCCCTTCTTATAATGTAGTCGTCACAATTTTATAAATTATGTATTCAATCATGAGATATAGAATTGTGACGAATACATTATATACCTATTTAAATTACTACAAACTAAAAAAGAAATACAATGTTTTAAAATAAAAATACAAATGATGAGTAAAAGAAAAACAATTGACAAACAAAAATTAATAGGAATACAATTGTGGTATGAATACAATTTTGTAACCTTCTTCTTTGACTTTGTCTTTCTTCTTCTTCTTCTTCTTCATCTACTATGTTCTTTTTTCCGATTTTTTTTTCTTCAAAATCGAATCTGAATCCGTATTCACTTGTGCATTAGTAACCCTATAAGCAAAATTCGAAATTATTAAATATGAATGTATAAAAAAATAAAACAATATATGATGTATGTGTGCTAATGTAGTTACTACAATCTACTAAATCTCAAATATGAAGACAAATTTTTTGATAATTTGAATTTCGAAATTATCAAAAATTAGAATGTATTAAATATCAAACAAAATAAACATACATATGAATTTCTAGATTCTCCAAAATCTGAAAAATTAAAAGAAAATCACAAAAAAAAAATTGAAAAAATTGAAAATCATAACTATTTGATGAATAACTAAACAAAATCACATAAAAATTGAAAAATTCGACTGAAAATCCGTAATATATAAAATCGGTGACTTAAACATCAAATCAAAATGGATAATGAAAATTACCTTGCCAATCGATAAATCTGCTTGAATTAATAAATAGATTTCATTTAACAATAAAACAGATTTCTTGATGAACAACAATTTAGCACCTTGAAGAAAGATAAACTTGAAACGTGAAAGGTGGGGAAGAAACGTGAAAAGTGGGGAAGAAATGTGAATGGAGTTGAAAAAAGGTTAATGTATATAATTTGGTCCAATATAGGACTCTTTTCATAAATAAAATTAATTTTAAATACTAAAATCTGAATACATATTATTTTATAAAAATATTGTCATTCTGTCATTTTAAATAAATATTTTAAAGTGTTGTTATTTTGACTAATTATATTAGGTATTATGACTTAATTGCTAATTTTCCCAAAAATTTACACCTTCAGATTTAGAATAGAATTAAGATTTTTTTATGTATAAAATATAAATCTCTCGTAAAAATGACTTAAAATGATCTGTTCTTTTTAATAAAAAGCTAAAAAAACTATTTCTCTTGAAACCTTCAAAAATCAAAAGTAAAGAAAATTTTGCCCAATGGAACAAAAATTATTAAATTTAAGAGTTCCTCCCATGGGACAAGCGGATGAAAAGTTCAAAATTACGTATTCCAAAATGATTCTTGCAAATTGCTTGTCGAGAAAATAGTGAACTATAGATTTAAACAAGTATCTCTTAACATCTTGAAATTTGAATGATGATGCACAAAGTGGTAACTCAACCCGATAATAATACACGATTCAAATTTGTTATAACATACTATTAGAATCGACATAATATTAAGCTAAATTCAATATTAAATTGTTCCATCAAATTTTATAAATCTGAAAGTTCCTTACAACTATTTGGATGGTTGTTACTTGAGTATTATTCTGTGGACGGAATGCTTGAATTTTATTTCTAGATGCAAAATTTGAATAGATAATATCATTTTCAATAACATTTATATTCTTTACTCTCTGTGTATCATATTATAGAATTACTAATAAGTTTACTTTAAAAACCTTAGTTGTTGCAAGTATTAGATATAAAAGTAATTACAAAAATAATTGGAGACATTCATTTTCCTATTCTTTTCACAAATTATGCCTAATAAAATTTTAAGGTATCGTTGCATAAAAGGGAAAAAAGAGATACAGAATGACAAAAAGAAAGAGTAATTTCCTTAGATAGTCATTCATGTTTGAGAAATTACATAATAATATCACTTTTGTTTGTTTTAGGACTACAATATCATCTAAGCATATTTTCTTCAAAATATACTTGACACAAAAAAATATTTTTCTCTCTCTCCTATGTCACATTATTCCTCTTTTACTAATAATTAAAAAGATTAACTTTTTAAATCAACCTATATAATATACTCGGTAAAAATAATAATTACATAACACAAAGTGAACATTTTTAAACAACTCATATTTGTTTTATGTTATTACGATTAACACTAATTATTTATTCTAAATCATTTTTTAAATCATTCATTCTTTAAGTTCTTATAAAATGTACAAGGTGAACATTAAAAACAAGTAAAAGTGAACAAAAGAAAAAGGAAATGTTTGACGTTAGAGAACAATTTTCACGTACTCATAAAAAATCAAGAGTATTATATCAACTAATTCTTTTTACGGATTTTTTTGTAGCAACTATTCCCTCTGTCCATTTTTTATTTATTCATTACGTTATAAATAATTATTCATTTGTTACTTGCTTTCTTTAGAAAATCAAGTGATAATTTATCACTTAATTCCTAATCCACTCTTATTATTAATTATAGTCATTTGCCAATGCATTTTTTAAAATATAAAATTTATTATTTTAAAAGATTGATATAGTAAAATTATCTTTATTATTTTTCAAGAGATATGTCAAATTAATACTAAACAAGTAAAGATGTAAAGATGGACGGAAGAAGTAGAAACTAAATTTTCCAGTTTAAAAAAATCAAAAAATATTATTAATAAAAAGAATAATATGACATGAAATCTCATTAAAAGTGTGCACTTTGCATATTTTTTAAGAAATTAAAGAAGGAATGATTTAAGAAATAATTTAGAAAAATAATTAATGTTAAATGTAATAATAGAAAAAAAATGTCTATCTCTTAATATGCTAAAGTAAAAAACTAAAAATGATAAATAATTAAGACTTTTTTTTAATGAATATAACATATGAGTTATTTTAAAAAGTTAAATTTTTTAAGAAAAAATGAAAAATGTGACATCACTACATCAAAAATGATCTTTAGCGGCAGTTAATTAACGGCAATAGCTCAATTGCCACTAAATATATATTTTTAGCGGCAATTAACACTATTTATATATGTCCCTAAAACCTTTAGCAACATTGAATCTAATAACACTTAACTAATGCCGGTAAAGGTTTTAACACTCTTTATTAATGTGTTTATTTATTGCTGCTAAAAGTTTTTTCGATTGTAGTGCATGGCATCCCAATAGGAGAGAACAATTATTTTTTTGTGTCAAGTATATTTTGAGGAAAATATGTAAAGTTGGGTGATATTGTGGTCCTAAAACAAACATAAGTGATATTACTAGGTAATTTCTCAAACATGGGTGACTATCTAGGGAAATTACTCCAAAAATAAATAGAAACAAAAAGATAGACAAACTAGAAATCCGAGGGGTTGGTGTCCAATACAGTATAGATCGAGTAAGAGTTCAGTAGCAAGACAAGAGTAAAAGAAACAAATAGGACTATGAAATAATTAGTAATGACATGATGGAAAAGAGTAACATATAACAATTGAATCGAACAACATCATACTACTTGTTGCATCAAATGAGTCTTTTAGTTGTTACATAACAAATTTAATCATGCAATACAATATACTTATGTTGTATTTAAGCTAGTACAACAGAATACATGGGTAACAAGTAATAACCATCCGAAAAGCTGTAGATAGCGTCCAAATAAGTACTAACTAATTAAGAAACTGTATATAATGTCATCGACCCATCAAACAATTTATTATAATAGCATATATGAACTACAATTTACACACACCAGAAAATGTGAGAGAATCACTTATTTTGCCGTAGAAAACATTTTCTGAAAAGAGTTTTTCATCATAGGAAACGCACCCTGCTTTTCTTCAGGAAATGGGATGGAAGCACAGCAATGGAAATAACCATTGCCATCGTAGACAAACCTTTGTGAAAGATGAGCTTCACGGATATAACACTCTCCCCACTCTTCTGAGCCATATTGAGCAAAAATTGTTCGTGCATCAAAGGGCTCAGTTTTTCCTGATGTTTTACTGCTACAATTTACAAAATAGTAAGTCAGTGCAACCTTAGCAACAAAGATAGTTATGCAACTGGTAGAAACATAATAGACTTTAAGCCGAGAATAAACTAGACACAATGAAAGAATAAAAAACGTCACCTTTTACTATTTCCCGCATTCATTAGTGTGGCATGCAACTGTATTAGAAGACAAATTTAGGAATTTCCACCAGGAGAGTTTCATGGTAAGAGGAAAAAAAAAAAAACCACCAGAGACGATAAAATATATACTTGAATAAGCTGAGGCATAATGTTCAAGTATTTAATGTTTGATACCAGAACAAAAACAAATGACACCACAAGAAAGTTACAGCATGCAAAATGCAACTGAAGAAATAAGTCCATGCATATAGTTGGAAGGCAGGAGGTGAGAATCGAAAAAGCCAAATTCCAAAGGTATCAAAAATAAAATGGTTGCAGCCATATTGATTCTTGGTAGTGAGTAAATCTACTTCCCTTTTCAAAACAGGCTCGAACCATTTCTGGCTGTAGTTATTTTATAGCCAAGAAATCCCCGAGGGAACTTGGTGGATTACAGGCCCTCCTGTTTACCCCTCTCCACTTAAATAACAGGCTTTTGTACCATAGACCCAAAGCCCGGGGGAGCATTATAGACCCTTGATTGTGACAAATAAGTTGCTTTTACATGGTAAATGAAAAGCAAGGACGCAGCAGCACTAGATTGAATGGTCAAAGAGATAGCCTTAATGGACAAACAATAAAGAAATTGCCAACAAAATTAACCAGAATAAAGAATTAACACATTGAGAGCTATACCAGTAACCCACGGTTTGCATCCTTTTCAAGAACAAGACCAGCTTCAATGAACGCATCTATTATCACCCCTAGAAAAGCTAAGGTATAACAAATACAATTAAACAGGTACTAAATTCCTTTAAAATAGCAGAGAAATTAAAATAGTGGCAAGAGTAAGGGAAGAACATGCCAGATATTGTGGATACGACAAGCACGTTTAAGTCTGTCTATACCACCACCAATTACTTCCAGAGGAGCATGTACAACATAAGCTTTTGGTGGAGTACCTCTATCTGGCATGCATTCCTGCAGAATAAGAACAAATCTGAGTTCCAGCCAAGAAAAGTTATGCCTTTGTCAAATCTCATTATAAGCAACAACCTCGAAACATCTACATGATAGCAGTCTCTCTTCCTAATACACACAGGGAACAACCAATCGAAGAAGCATTCACAAAAAGAGATTGGAGTCACATGAAAAGGCAAATAAAATCACTATTTAGATTCTTTTTGCAGTACTAATTCATTTTGTTCAATTGCATTGCGTAATTCCAAATTTGTCAACATTGCTACTAATGGCATGGTTGAAGACTCTAATACATAATTCCCTTTGTTTGTTTCAGAGTTGAAAATTTACAGAAGCCTATAATTGCATAACTTGGATAAAGACTTACCAATCCCTTCAGTCTTATATATACAGGTCGTCGCTCCAAAGCATCCATTACTTTTGGTGAGACCCTCTGGATGGACAATGAAAAGCAATTTAACTATTACGAAAAGTTAGAGAACGAAAAATATATTACAAAAGGAATAAAATGGCCATCTAAGTATAAACTTTTACCCGCAAAACGTCAGCAGCAGCTTCAATTCGATCAGTATTCCAAAGCTTCAGCATTTGCACAGTCAAGTGTAATGTATTTGGCTTAATAAAAATGGACTTGTCAATTCCCAAACCTGTTGAATCGAAAAACATTTGTCAATTTTGTCAGAAATTATGACATAATGAAGAAAGCAATGAGCCCCTAGGTTAAATTGAACATAAGAAGAAAATGCAGAAATAAGAATTTTCATCTGAATTAACTTTATTAGTTTGAAGAGCTGAATTCTTAAAGTTGTTGAGCTTGGTGACCATTTCATCCGGCAAGGTCAATGGAAGTGATACAAAATGAGTGTACCCAACGTTTTTGCTTTTAATTGCCTACAGGAGAAAGAGGAGCACATAAAACCTTTAGGAATAACTCAATCAGTCAAACAAGTGGAAGTAACTCTACTAACAATAAATTTGTGTTCATGATTTTATCAGTAGTTTTAGAATTTATCACAGAGAACGTAACATCCATAGTAAAGAGTCTAGTGATAGTGATAAAAGCATCCTGAGTTCAAACAGTTATAAATCTTCGATCCATAACACCAAATTTTACACAAAAATAGTATGAAACAACCAGATAACCAAATTCAGCTGAAAAAAACTCACTTGAGAAGTCGACATAGTATGAAAGCTGCAAGTCTCTCGTTGCTATGGAGGAGAAAATTTGTGCTTCTATTTTTCTTCAGTGCTTGCACTTGTTAATTTTGACCCTTCTCTTGGTTGGGATGAATGGGTCAATCCACGTGATGTTTACCAATTTTTTCCAGTCGGACCCACCCAAGTTCCAACTAAATAATAAGAACGAGAATTATCATATACTACTTTAATTCGATAAGTGGGGTCTGGAAGAGTAATGTGTATTCAGGCTTATCATACTATTGTGAAAGTAGAAAGACAATTTTGTATTGATCCTCGCCTCAAGTAAATCATATCAATATCAAGTATTGTAAGGAAATACAACACTGAAGAAATCTATTTAACTTCATGTCTTCAGTATATTGCAAGTATGTCATGTTCTATCTAATCAATTTTTTACTTTTCGCCTATTTCTATACCTCTTCTCATACTATCCATAGTTAACCTCTCACGTCTCCCTAAAGTATTTGTGCATTACCTCTTTATATGTTTGAACTAGCTCAATCCCGTCTTTGTCATTTTGTCCATTGTGAAGGTCATTTTCACTTTATCTCAAATATCTTCGTTCCTAATTCTATCTCTAATAGCATACTCATACATCCATCTCAACATCCTCATTTTCACTATTTTTATATAAAAAAAAATTGAATGTGTGAGCTCTTGAGCAACCAACACTATGCCCTTACAATATAATTGTTCTGACAACCAATTTATAAAACTTAGTTTTATGTCTTGATGACACACTCTCATACATACCAAATAGGGGCCTTTATTTTATTCATCCCACACCATCAATATGATATGTGTCATTATCTTTAGCTAGCGTTTGACTCCTAGTTTTCAAATATTTTTGACAAATTATATTTGGGTGAAGTTTTTGATGAAGTTTCAATATGTGTTTGGCCTCAATTTTTTTCAAAAATATTTGACTATTTCAAAAATATAATTTATACACGTAAGTTCTAAAAATTATTAAATATACCCATAAATTTATATTATCATTTTATAATAAATATATTTCGTTAAAAAAAATAACCTTATAATATATTTGATAACAATCAACAATAACAAAATAACAATATAGGTAAGACAATACGTTAATCGTATACTCAAACTTGTCACTGATTCAATTATAATTATAACTCATTAAATACAAATTGTTCTTTTTTCTCAATTTTATCACTCAAATTAGAACTCAAACTTTTATGGAGAAGGTAGTAACAAATATTAGTTGAAATTAATAAATAATGAGTATTTCTTTTTATAAAATATAAAAGTTTTGGGTAATTTTTAATTTTAATTTTTTTTTCAAATATTAGAACTTGACCCAAATACTAGTTTTTTCTAGTATTTCGGAATAAGTCTATTTAAGGCCATGTCTTTAGTATGTTGGAGATGTGTCATGTTCTATTTAATCACCTTTCTCTAGTACTTTTTTTTCTCCTACTTGTACCTCTTCTCATACTATCCATAATTAACCTCTCACGTCTCTCTAGAGCATTTGTATATTTCCTCTTCATATGATTGAATTAACTTAGTCCCACTTCTATCATCTTATCTAACATGAAGGTCATTCCCATTTTATCTCAAATATCTTCGTTTCTAATTCCATCTCGAATAGTATATCTACACATCTATCTCAACATCTTTTATTTCTTTATTTTCATCAATTTTTAATGTGTGAGTTCTTGATTAACCAACGCTATGCAACATACAATATAGTTGGCCTATCAACCAATTTATAAAACTAAGCTTTATGTCTTGATGACACACTCTCATTACACAATAAATCGAATGTGGGCCTTCATTTCATCCATCGATCTCACATCAATATGATATGTGGCATCATTGTTAATCTCTCAATTTAATCAAATTATTGATCTAAGATACTTGAAACTTCTTTTCTTGTAGATAACTTCTATATCAATCCTTACTTTCATATCCGACACATAGTTATACAAAATTGAATTATTTACCTTGAAGGTATACAAAAATTTGTGAGAATTTTGAAAAATTATTTCTTTAAATGTAATAATTGTCGAAAAGGATATTTTTGTGTATTTATTTTAGTGTTTGGGCTTACCACGTAAATATCCCAACAAACTAAGCTCTAACCTTTGAGTTTGATGCAGTAGCCCAAGAGGAAAAGACATGTTAGATAGTAAAAAAAAATAAAAAATCGTATTGAATATTCACACCAATTTATTTTTTTTTTGGTGGAAACACCAAATTAATTCAAGTTACTATGATTAAATAAATAAATTATTCATGATTAAATGATAATTATATTTATTCAAATGCATATTATATATTCATTGATTTAGTATAAAATATAAAAGATTTTTTAGCTTTTAAATACGAGGCTTAGCAACACTAGATAACCATTAAACTGATTGTTGGAAACTTGCTATTAATTAATTTCTCAAATAAATGAGGGAAAAACCCCACTTGTAATATTAAATTAAAAGATAAATGAAATTGGGAAAAAATATTTTAAGGTAGAGGAGTTTTTTTTTTTCTCCAGGTAGAGGAGTTGACTGTGTGTCACCGTTCAAACTAATTTGATCTGAAAAAAAAACATATAGTAATTAGATAATAACTTATTCATTAATTTAATTCATTCTATTTTATGAAATGATAAAAATATATCATATATTTTTGAATTACTATAAATATTCTAATGTATTAATACATGCATCAAACTAAATATAGAGTAATCTTAGTCCTTTATTTGGAATCTTAATAATTCAGTTGGTTGATTGTCTAAATTAGATTGCTACCTTGAAATCCATCCCTTTGAAAATCTTAGTAATTCAATTGATTGACTATCTAAATTTAATTTCTACCATGAAATTCACTCCCCCATTAAAATTTCAATAAGTAACTATATTGATTGATGGTCTAAATTCAATTTTACACCTGATTCATTTCTCCTGAGTAGCTAAAGTTGGCAAGAGAATGCTTGAATTGAATCTCCATATATATTCCATTGATGCACATAAAAAGCCATTATGAAATGCCCAAGTTGACTTTCCGCTACTGCAAAGCGTTTGCAATTCTGCTTTTTGATACCTTTACAAACTTTTAAAAAAAAAATACCTGTACAAACTTACAAATAAGAGAAACACAATATTATTCTGTAAACAAAAGATTCCCAACTCCATCGCAAGCCTGCAACTTTCCTACTATTTCTCGCATATGCGTAGCATTCATAGTTATCTTCATTGGACTATATATATTCTTAGAAATAAAAAATAAAAAATTATATTATAATCTCTGCGTTTACCATTACTGATATCCCCTGATCTTATAATAAAAAAATATACTTTATTTTGTTCTTTCATCACATGATAACATCCAGAGACCCAAAAGGGAAATTATCAGTGAAATTGATTTGATTAATTCTTGTTATGAAATTCGGGAAAGAGTTTACAACGCATTTAGAAGAAACCCTACCCGAATGGAGGGACAAGTATTTGTGTTACAAACCCCTCAAGAAGCTTCTCAAGAACCTTCCACCTACCGACGGCGGTGACAATCCTCCGCCGCACTTGCAGGACTGGTTCGTCAGAATTCTCAATGAGGAACTTGACAAATTCAACGATTTCTATGTCGATAAAGAGGAGGAATTTATTATTCGATTACAGGTTTCTTTTCTTTCTTCGCTACTCTATACGTAGGTCAATCAATCAATCAAAACTGATTGCGGCCGGCTATACGCCCAATATCTTGGAATTTTATCTGAATTCTTGATTGATGCATATTCCTTTTTATCACATTAATCTTGTATATTCCACAAGTATTATCTGTGATGTGATCTGTACTGCTGATTATTCCAACTTACAATTTAATTTCCACAAATTGTTTATTAATTTAAACTTTTGACGGATCATGAAAGCTGTGAAGCATTTACAAAGTTACCAATTTCAAAAAAGGAAAGTTGTGAAGCAGGGGTTTACTTGTACTGCTTGTTAGACTGATGTTGGAGAGTATGATGAATTGAATGGAGAGACTTTATATTCTTGACAAATGTGGTGGTCCAACTTGTGCCATCACGACTAATTTCACGGTATCTACTATATTCCAACAACATAATTGGTGGATAACTCTATCCACCAAGACTTGGTAGATGGAAGAAATCACTCGATGAAGAGATTTTTAAAGTTTCATCTGGTGCTACACATAAAAGTTTAAATGTAGCATTTGGCTGGAATTTTGTGAAAGTATAAAGCAGGGCAATTGCAATTATGGAAATCAATGACGGTATTTGAAGTACAAAAGGAGGGAAGTATATGTAAATGAGTTTATGAGGAATTTGAGAGGGGTGACACGATCTTAATAGCTGCAGCAAGCTGAGAGGAAACATATAAATGCAAAAACAAATAAATAAGTCGTTAGGGAGAAGGTATCATAGGAGCTACCTGGAGAATATTCTTAGTTAAGCTGAAGCATAAGAGTATATTGATGGTATATTCCACCTTAGTGCCTTCCCAACATATTGAACTATTTTAAGAAATGACCCTACATATCTTAAATTATGATACTTCTGTCATAATCAATACGACCTTCGTTATTTTTAATCTTATAACGGTGGTCCCGAGCCGATTTATGGCCACTTTGATTTTACCGAGTTCCTGCTACCTCCCATCAATATAGGTATAGGTAACTCTTAACTGCCAATGATTTTGCAGATTACAAATGGGAAAAATCACCTAGTTTTTTTTACTGGGATTTAAACTCTAGTCTCCAAGGTGTTCACCCACTTCTTTGATTACTTGGCCAACTCCTAGGTGCTTAATCAACAAAACATCGTACCTTGATTTATGTAGTTAAATAGCGTACAAACAGCCAATCTATCTATCCATCAATCAAACAACTATTTCTTTATCTCAGATCAGGTGTATGAATCCTCTTATACCATTCTACTCTATTCAGGTCCTTTTTATTGTAATACTTAATATAACATGTTTGAACAAACTGTTATGTTGATTTTGGCCAAAGAGTGGTTAAAATATTTTCCTTCCATTTATTTGATAATATGGAAGGATTAGCAGTAAGATGCACGTTAAGTTTGCCTTCAGCATCTACAGATGCAATTCTAATGAAATTCCACCTTATCTGATTTTTAAAAAAAGGGGAGATGCACATTAAGTTTGAAGTATTATAATGTAGTAATAATTTATATTAATTTGAGTTCTGGAGACAACTTTCACTTACAAAAACATAAACCATTATTTTAGTCAAAGGAGAAAAAAATTTTAGGTCACTTCATTGACACAGGTTTAGTATCAATTACCACTAGAACTCTAGAAGTCTGGTATTGGGGCCGGCCATATGACTCTGCTACACCCAATTTCTTGGAATTTTATTTGAATTCTTGATTGATGCATATTTTTTACCACATTAATCTTGTACATTGCACAAGGATTATCTGTGATCTGTACTGCTGATTATTTCAACTTTTAATTTAATTTCCATTAATTGTTTATTAATTTAAACTTTTGGCGGATCATGAAAGTTGTGAAGCAGGGGTTTACTTGTACTGCTTGTTACAATGTTGTTCTAGAGTATGATGAGTAGAATGGAGAGACTTTATATTCTTGACAAATGTGGTGGTCCAACTTGTGCCATCACGACTAATTTCACGGTATTTGCTATAGATTTTTAAGGTTTCATCTGGTGCTACATATAATAGTTTGAATGCAGCATTTGGCTGGAATTTTGTGAAAGTATAAAAGCAGGGCAATTGCAATTATGGAAATTGATGACGGTAGTTGAAGTACAAAAGGAGGGAAGTAAATCTAAATGAGATTATGAGGAATTTGAGAGGGTTGACAAGAACTTAATAGCTGCAGCAAGCTGAGAGGAGACAGATATTTGCAAAAACAAATAAATAAGTGATTAAGGAGAAGGTATCACAGGAGCTACCTGGAGAATATTCTTAGTTAAGCTGAAGCATAAGAGTATATTGATGGTATACTCCACCTTAGTGTCTTTCCAACTTGTTAAACTATTTTAAGAAAATGACCCTACATATCTTAAATTATAATACTCCTGTCATAATGAACATGAACTACGTTATTTTCAATCTTATAATGGTGGTCCCGAGCCGATTTATGACCACCTTGATTCTACCGAGTTCCTACTACCTCCCACCAATATAGGTATAGCTAACTCTAACCATCAATGCTTTTGCAGATCACAAATGGGAAAAATCACCTAGTTTTTTTTAACTGGGATTTAAACTCTAGTCTCTCCAAGGTGTTCATCCACTTCTTTGATTACTTGGCCAACTCTTAGGTGCTTAATCAACAGAATAACCCACCTTGATTTATGTAGTTAAATAGCGTACAAACAGCCAGTCAATTCATCGATCAAAAAATCTCAAATCAGGTTTAGAACATTTGCCTGCCATTTGATAATATGGAAGGATTAGCAGTAAGATGCACATTAAGGTTGCCTTCAGCATCTACAGATGCAACTTTAATGAAATTCCACCTTACCTGACAAAAAAAAAATGGTGAGATGTGCATTAAGTTTGAATTAGTATAACGTAGTAATTAATTATATTAATTTGACTTCGGTAGACAAAACTTTCACTTAGGAAGTATAAACATTATTTTGGTCGAAGGAGAAAAAAACTAGGTCACTTCATTGACATGGGTTTAGTATCAATTACCACTAGAAGTCGGGAATTGCGAACTTGCATGATCAGATTCTTCAGAAAATGACTGTTGTCCCAAATGTTAAGTATTTTTCAGCACCAAAGACAGAAAATTGTAAGAGTGAACCAGTGCATCACTGACTTGTTTGATGAAGCCACTCATATGGTTCCCTCATCCCCCTCCCAGAAAAAGAAATAGAGAAAGGACTTGGAAGGAGGAACTTCCATGTCATCATCATGTGTTGCATATAGGTACTACAACAGGGCATCCCTAAACGTAGATTGCCTAAGAAAAGTTCCTCCAAATTTGATAGTGCTGCCAGTTAGTTTCATCGTTGTTGTATGATTACTGCCCAGTTTGACAAGGGTTTGACGGTTTATTTCTCTTGTCCCACAACTACCGGTTCATTGTGCTATTTTCAACTGCAAGTTTTGTCTGTTAATTAGCATGCATCTCCTGTGGGCACAACCAGTTTATTAAGTAAGATAGACACCTAAATATTGAATATAGGGTTGACCTTGCATATGACTTCAGTCACAATGGTTGTAGCTAGTGCACACCTAAACTGTCTATATTGTACAGTTTGCTTCTTTGGTTGTAGCTAGTGCACAAGTAAAAGATATGAAATTTAAACCCTTGCTTTCGTTGTGGTGAAGTTCAATATACTTAAGACAATTAACACATGAACATACTAGCAACCCTAAAAATCATCATTCTTAATTAATAGCTGAGCGGATCGATGGTCTGATGGCTTAAGTTATACTCTATTTGTTTAAACTACACATAGTAGGAGTTAGCAATGAGTCTAACAGTTGATGCTAGTGGTAGTCTAGCAGATTATTTTTTTTGATTCACTACTACTAGTTAGTTGATCCTTGGATACTTTGTACTGGCAAATTAAATGCACAAGTTTGCTGCCATACATTAAAGTTGAGCAAAAAATGGTTGAGTTAAAAACTGCAACTATCAACTTTTTTGATAAGGTAAATACTTTATTTAATTATGGGAAAAGGCTGCATCTATCAACTTTTATGCTTTGTATAGAACTATTCTAGGGTGACAGATTAGCATTTAAAATTTAAATTGAAGCATTCTTCGTGGAGATAAAAAGCACTCAAGGTGAAAAATATGTGCTATTTGCGAGATTATTTCTACTTATAGCCTGTCTTTTATCATTTGCATGAGCATCAAATTGGAATGAATATTTTACTAGTTGAAGTTATAGAGAACATTTAATACTCTTTTTTTATTTATTTTTTATTCTGCTAAGGTTGACTTGATATGAATTCCAATGGAGAAGGAGAATCATTGCTAGAGGATTTATATAGTCGACCCCAACTTGTTTGGGAACGAGTTATTAGTTATTTTATCACTTTTCTCGTTTGCAGTCTCCTATAGCTAATGACTGTCAATTTCTTACTTTTCCCTCTTAATTTGATTAAGCTGGGTCTCTTAGTCTCCATAATGCTACCTTTGTATAAGTTGTCATATTTTAATGAATGATGAACACTTTATCTGAATCATGCATAGGCTGAGATTTGGTCTTGACAACGGCATGTGGGATATCATAAGGAGCATTCCCCCCTATTTTATTTGTACTAATCAGAATTCGATGAAATTTGGAAGGGAGGGAGTTGGACTTTGCTTTTATCTGTTTCATGCCTTGGGTGGAAGATTGACAACTATCTTAGTCTTGTATTAGGATTGTATGGTGGTGAAATGAGTTATGCAATATACGATATTTAGAAGTTCATTCTTTTTTGAATTTGTTGTTATGCCGTGGAGGATGACATTCCCTTGTGGCGTCCATTTAAAAAAAAATTGTGGTGGTAGATGGGGAATAAGGAAAAATATTTTGGTTTGAATTTAGGGATAAGGCACAAGTACCCCCTAGACTATGACCTAAATCCCAGAGACACACCTTTACTAAATTAAGGTCCTATTACCCCGAACTTGTTTTTTTTTGTAATTTTGTACACCTTTTGTCTTACGTGGCACACTCCGTAACTCCACGCAATTGAGGCGCGTGGGAGATATTTGGATGCCACGTAAGCCAAAAAGGTGCACAAAATTAAAAAAAAAAAGGGTTTGGGGGGGTAATAGGACCTTAGCTTAGTTAAGGTGTGTCTCTGGGATTTCGGTCATATTCTAGGGGGGTACTTGTCCATTTTCCCTTGGATTTATCAAGGGAACTTTTTTTCATTTGGAGTTGGACCGATTTCTTTGATGGAGTTCCAGAAGGGGACTGAAAGTAGGAAATTTTTAATTCTCTTTCTCTTTTTCTTAGTCTTGGAGAGGTAGGATTGGGAAGGACGGGTTCAAGAAAATATGCCCTAGAGTAAGCAAGTAGAAATTAGACGTGGAAAAATAAATAAATATTCAAATATGTGGGTATCAATTGTCTTTGGTATGTGAATTAATCCTATCTCATCTATTTCTATACCAGGAATTGAAGGAACGGATTGAAAGAGTGAAGGAGAAGAGTGGCAAAGACGGAGTTCTCACAAAAGACAGTGAATTTAGTGATGAAGTGATGGGTATACGTAAAGACTTTGTTGCTATACACGGGGAGATGGTTCTTCTTAAAAATTACAGCTCTCTAAATTTTGCAGGTACCACAGCATTTACACTCTATTTTAAGCATATATTGTGATATCAGTTAGCCAGTTACAATTGCTCAAGCATTTGTGTTTCAAGTGTCGTATTGCTCTTGTTTTAGCTGAATAACAACTTCAAGTAGAGTCTTGCTTAAATTTTGTGCAACATCAACTTTCTATAACAAATTGTTTTATTCCCTTAGGTCTTGTTAAGATTTTGAAGAAGTTTGATAAACGAACTGGGAGATTGTTGCGTCTTCCTTTCACACAACTTGCTCTTGATCAGCCCTTCTTTACAACTGAGCCTTTAAATAGATTAGTCTGTGAGTGTGAGGAAAATCTCGAGCTCCTATTTCCTTTGGAAGCAGAAGTTGTAGAATCAGATGCTACTGCAGAAGAGCCGAAGAGAGGAACTACTTCTTATGCTACAAATGTTTCTCCAGCATTGCCACTTGGGGAAGAAAATGTGGATATATATCGAAGTACACTTGCGGCAATCAAAGCTATTCAGGGACTGAAGAAGGCAAGCTCCACGTATAATCCACTATCATTTTCCTATATCTTTGGTAACCAAGATAATGATAGCACAGGCGCTATAACTGCAGAAAACTCTGATTCAGACCAGTCGGTTGCCTCTCAGAGTGATAAAGAGACAGATCAAGAGGATTCCCATCCACCGGAATAGGGAACACCTTTCTAGTTTGCTTCGTTGGTCTTTGCTCAGTGGTTTGTTGTTGACTAAGGGAGGTAAAATGGTTAGCTTCTTCATTGTATTCTACTGTTCTGGAATAAATTGTTCTCTGTCGACAACTTTTAGTTCTTGGATTACTTCTCATTTGTTTGAAACTTTTAGAGGGCAAAAACTTTTAAGATGTACATTCTGCGGAAGATGTATAACATTTAAGTTAGTCTTATCAAAACTTGAACACTCTAGTTATAGATGCTACCATTTCTATTAATGGTGTGTTTATTATGTGTCCAATTTTTTGTCAATCTGACTATTTTGATGAACAGATTTTTCATATAGAAAAGGGGTATTATGTTGTCCGTCTTATTTGTCAAATAAACTCTCCAACTTTGAGAGTGCACATCTAGACACCTCAAATTGGAGTGTTTGGTTGTCAATTGAGGTGTTTAGGCACTTACTTTCAACTGAGGCCAAAGTTGCGTGTTTGTTTATGTATTATGCCTCATCTATATGATTTTCATTCGTTCTTCTATGATGTCCACTTATGTCGATTGGACGTTTATCCTTGGTAAGAATTAGAGAATGGCCTTCAACAAGTTACAAGTCATTTTCATATGAAACTTTGGAAAGCTATAGGACCTCAAGCATTGATTGCTTTGTTTAAATATTTTGGGAGTCTTTTGACGAAGAAAGCTGGATATATTAGCTGTATTTCATACATCAATCATTTTCCTAAGCACCATTTCATGAAAACAACTCCATACACATCAATCAGCTTTCTTTTCATCCTATACCTTCACTGTCTAATTTCATGAACAAAACAATAAGAACCAAGGAAAAAGAAAATCATTTTTGAGTCTCGACTACTCTGGTGATTTTCCTTTTACATACTCTTGTCTTCGTCGTAGTTGAAAGGCAGGGGTACGGACTTGGAGGCACGATATTTCCCAACGTTGTTTAAGTGCTCATTTTCCAACCTGAACAGCAGAAAAACTACTACTGTTAGAGAAAAGCACGATATTTACATTGTTGATGTCTAATGCTTCATACCTGAAAAAGTTCCATATGCCTCGACGAAGGATTTCCAAACAGGCAACAACTGCAAGGAATGCTTTCTCGTGCAGAAATGAGAGATCTTTAATATCTAGAACCAATTGCATCCATACTAGTCTCAGAATAATGTCAAGAACCTGCCATTTGGAGTTCGAATCATCAATAACGTAATTTCAATGCAAGAGTTTTGTTAATCCTATTCAAAGAGGCTTACAATGGCAACAAAGTAGACAATCTTGTGTGGCACAAGTAGCTTGTCTCTCAACCAGGGGTTTTTGGAATTCCTTTGCAACAGACCCCAATCAATGACAAGGTCCCAATAAGTGTTTGCAATTGTAGTAATTCCTGAAGTTGATGCTGCCATTACTTTCCAAAAGGTTCCTCTCTTCTGATCATATAGTGTCCTCGTTACAAGAGCAACAATAGTTGAGAAATATTTGAGGCTATTAAGCCCTTGCATCGAATCTTTTTCTTCAAATAAGCGACGAAGACACTGTATATAGCATGAAATCATACGAAGCACCATATTACATAATTGTCAAGATATCTGTAGTGGGAAATGGGAGTGATGATTTGCGGTGTAAAAATTCTCAAACCTGAATAAACCGAGACCAAAAGGGAATAATTGCAACAACTATGTATAAGATCTTATAAACTTCGCTATCTTGACATGTGTTTGATCTTGTTTTGAAGTTGCCCCATACATAGTAGCAGACATAGAATTGCAAACTCCTAATTGCTTGAACCTGAAATAAAGAGCACAGTGTGGTTTTTTGCGATAAGCACAGGACAATTTGCACATTATACTGACTGAATCATCAACATTTTGGTATAATGTAGATGTTACCCATATAGAAAAAGGCTGAGTGTCAAACCTGGCTGGTAAGTTGATCTGCCAAGATGAAATCTGGTAGAGTAACCTGTAAATTGATGTGCAACTAGTTAGTCCTGTGATACTAACTAAAGTATGTGAATCTGTATATCTCTTAAACAAACTGCTGGTACCTTATAGAGGGGAGCGCATAGGCAGTGCCAGGAAGTTCTTAGAAAGAAGAAACGACTTGAACGATATAAAATGTTCAGAGGACAAAAAGTTATTAGAAGAATAACCTGAAAAAAGAAGAAGATTTAAGATCATTAAGGGGTTTAATTTTTTGTATAGATCAGTTGTAGAATGATAGTAGAAGGAAAACTAATGTTTCTAAACTTACAAACAGCAACACAAGTGGGATCAGCTCTTTCACTGTCTCATAGCTTCCTGTTTTAGGGTCCATATCCATATCCAGGTGGAAGAGTGAAGCAGCCAATGCAAGAACTGAAAGACCAGAAGCAAGGAGGAAAACTTGTTTGTAACCTAACTCTGTTCCCTGCTTGAAGCCAAATATGAAGGGATAATTGACCCGAAAACGCTTCCAGTAGTATACATTTGCCCCATACATGAGCATATGGAGGACAATGTATCCAAATAGGCTGCAAAGTTAGAGCTTCATTACTCATATGTATTGCTTAAAACATGGTTTCTCTTGTAGACCAACATTAGGAAGGAATCAATATGAATTTGTAAAAGTCAGATGTTTAGTTCACCTATACAGTGGAAATATGTTATTCATATACTTATCACGATCCTTATGCTCTAGAAGGTGCTGTGCACGTATCGCTACAACAATAGCTGCCACTAATGCTATTGAGCAGCCAGAGAACAAACCTGTAGGTGAAAAGTCTATCAGTTACTAAAACGAACATATGGTTATGATGCAGTATACAAACTTTTGTTAAGCACTTATCCTGGATGAAGATGATTCATTTAAAATTTAATTTTGCATTACTTAGTTCAAACTGAATGCAATAGCTTCAGTTGAACCAGCAGAATCTGTCCTCGGCCTTTGATTACATAGAAAGAGAGTGTTGATGCTAATAAAGATGTATGCTTACCCATGAAAAATGTTACTCGGTGGGTTTCTCTTTTAGCTTGTGGTCTTAAATGTTTCATTCCTTTCCTTCGATTGCCATTGACAAAATGTTTTACGAATGTGACCTCCACTCTTTCTATGAGCTTGTTAGCCTAAGGAAAAGCAAAGATTGATGAGAAGTTCAAACTTCAAATTATAGTTGCAAGTGGAATAATCGAAGGAAATATACCTCATCTGAGTTACCAAGATCAGATTTATCAAGCATATCTGAGTATGATTTAGAAGCTTTCCTTGAAGTAGTCTGTATCAGTAAATTACAGTGTTAAAAGGCAAAACTAAAAATTTCTACTTTCTATTGCCAAATAGTTATCGATAACTTCAGTGTAGTACCTTATCATACTTCTTCATGATCTTAGAGAACGCCAACACATTTAATAAACTAATACAATAAATAGCAAAGTGTTAGTAAAATTGAACACCAAAACAACTACAAGTGGGAGAAAAAAATTGCACCATTACCGGTAGCTTTTCAGAAGTCTAAGCTTTTTATAGAACTCAACTAAAGCCGTTTTCATTTGTTCTTCAGCTTTTTTGAGCTCATCTTTGCTGAATTTTAAGTTTGCTTTTGAAGTCCTGATAACATTTTTCAAAGTCGAGATAGGTGTTGCAGGATCAATATTGATTTTTACATTGTCCAAAATCTCTATTGGAGCAGGCCTAAAACGCATGAGATTCCTCTTTTCTTTTTCTCTATTCCCTGATGTTGATTCCTCTTCCAGTATTTCTTCACCAGTCATCTCAACTTCTTGAATTGCCTCCATATGTGACCCACCTGTATTGAGGTTAAACACAAATCCAAACTAATTACATAATGGAATCAGTATTTGAGAAATTGGACTAACCTGGACTTCTTATATGAGTAGGAACTACTGATCCTGGAGACAAAGTACTATCATCATCCATCATCACTTGGTCACTAGGCATTCCAATTGAAGGTTTGTCAACCATAATTCTTAGAGCAATAAGTGCATCCATTTGTTTACTCAACTCATCAGCTTCATCCTTCACTTCCTCTACTTTTTTCTTGTAAAAAGTTATCACCTTGTTGAATTCATCATCAAGTCTTCTAAAGAAAACCATCTCATATTCTCCACCTTGTTCAGATGACATAAGAAACATAGTTTGATGGTGTCCTTGTGACCCTTCTTGTTGCAGTGAACTTACTAAAATAACTTCTTCATCTTCATTGTCAGTTTTACCAGGTGAACCTTTGAAACTGAATCTACTTTGTAAACCACTAAAAGCTCTGTACATAGATATCCTTCTCTTTAATGAGCCTTTTGGTGTGGCTGCAACTTCAGGTAATGGTGCATTTTTCTTCTTGAAACAAGATATGTCTTTCAACACACCTTTTAGATAATTATAATCCATATAGGCTTCTTGCCATTCAGGTATCATTTGGGATGTAAACTCTTTCCCAAATTTCATCTTTATCAAAACTGTTTGGTTTTTCTTTAAGATAAAAAAAAAAAGAAGTGGGGGTTTTCTCTGTTTTTACCAAGAATGAAAAAGATTGGAGTATATATAAAAATGTTGGGTTTGGGGTTGTAGCCGTCAGTGAAGAAAAGGTCAAGAATCAAGTTGGTCTCCAAACCTAGTAAGGTTCCTAGAATGTCGTGGAAAAAGGTCAAGAATCAACCGCTTTTCTTTTTTGTTTTCTAAATTAGTTTAGGGATTTCGGAGCCTGAAATATTGTTTAACAATGGCAGCAGCAGCAACCCAGAAAGTCACTGAACTGTGGGGGCTGTGTCAGAGGTGGCCTCGCCTCTTCTTCACAACAATGGGCAGAACCACACTTTACAATGGTTGCCAATTTTGAACTATTCACTAATTGACTTCCCCATTAACAATTAAATCACATATCAGATTTCTAACTTTACCATTTCTATCGTACCTCATTTATTTTCGTACTCTCATCGTCTCAATATGATTTGACATGAAATTTAATAAAGTAAAAAATATTTTAGAATATACTAAAATATTATTTGATATTATGCTACATGACATGAAAAATTAAAATTTATAAGGGAGAGAAATCAAGTAATTTTTTTAATGCACGTACAAAATCTTAATTAAAGGTGGTTGGCCAGTCTGTGTCCTAGCTGCTCTACTTAGATAGAAAAGGAAAATATATTATAGTACTTGATATTTTTTGCCTTCGTTGAAATGTCAACTTAATTTTTCATTATTTTCATTCATTTTATTGT